GGCTGTGTCACCAGCACCACTGGGGCCAGCGGTGGACACGTAGGGGACGTTCGTGCCGGGTCACGGACACACAGAGTGCCGCGGAGGATGTGGGTACCACACGGCACCGAGCACACACAGCACACGGGGGCGCACGCGCGTGTCACTCTGGTCACGAGCTGACTCCTGTGCATCTGTCCCGGCAACGCTCCGGCTCGGGCGGTTCTGTCAGCCCTCGTGGTGGTCAGAAACTGGGTCAGGACTGGCGTGTCGAGGCCCCCATCCCCAGTTGGCAGAGGTGCAGGGTGCACGGGGCTCCGGGGAGTGGCTCCAGGGGTGTCGGGGGAGCCCAGCTTGTGCCCGAGCGCACTGTCCGGAGCGCGGGCTCCACACTCGGGCCCTGCTGCTCGCCGGGGTGCCCCACCCACCCCCACGCAGCATCGGCCCGGCCCGTCACCCTCTGGCAGCCCTGGACACGCCACGCATCCCTGTGTGCAGGGGAGGCCTGAGGCACCGCGCGGGAGGACGGTGGCCGGGGGCAGGGCTGGCAGACTCGGGGCACCACTGATTGTGGGTTACAGCGAGTTCTGGGCAGGGCTGCCCCTCCCTGGCCTGTCATGCCCCTTTGCACGACAGTCTGCAGCTGTTGGGCCGCCTCTGGGGTTCCAGCATCAGACAGGGTGAGGGCTGGGGGTCTCGGGTGGGGATGGGGACTGGCCTGCCCCCACCCCCCCCCCCCGGCTGGCATGTAGCTTCCCGGTGTCGGGCTGGCTGGGGTCTCCGTCCCTGTCTGGCCGGGGCTTGCGGCCAGGAACCCTTGAGCTGTGCGGGTGGCCTGCGTCCAGGCGAGGCTGCCCTGAGCAGGAAGGCAAGCCCCGTGGGGTGGGACGAGCACTCGGCTGTCCTGGCCTCCCGCCTGCCAGCGCCCCCACCAGGGGCAGCCCCAGCTGCATCCTGGCTCTGCCCTTCGTTTCCCCCCCGGGGCCCCGGCAGGCCCTTGAAACCGCTGCTGTGACTTCACAACCCCCCTCCTCTGTGCTGCACGCTGCTCGGGGGCGCCCTCCCCCCCAGAGGCACAGCGCCCCTGGCGGCAGGACGAGACCCGTGTCCATGGAGCCTCCGCACATCTGCGGGCACCTCCCAGCCCCGCGTGGGCTCCCCGAGGCAGGCTCTGGGCTGGCAGGTGGAGCCCAGATCCGGCGCCCAGAATGTTCGGGGAGCGAGTCCCTGCAAACCTCACACTCCCGGCGCCAGGACCCCAGCCCTGTCTGCCTCCCCAGCAGGCTGGGGTCACCCCAGGACGCTGCTGTCCCAGGAAGGCGCTCGGGCGCCTTGAGGTCAGCCTCCCGGCCCAGCGGGCCGCCCCTGCCCACACTGCCTCGCACGGGGTCGGGGAGGTCTGGGGCACGCGCGGGGGGTGTGCAGAGGGCCTCAGAGTTCGGTTCTCCTGGGCTACGTCCTCTGGAGAGGAGGCTCTGACCAGGCCGCTGCCCCGGGCTTGAAGCTGACGTCGGCCCATCCCTGACGAGTCCCGAGCAGGGGACCCTGTGCGGTGGCCCCTTGAGCCCCGCCGGCCCCGGCCCCAGCGGCTCTGCAGCCGTCCTCCCGGGGTGGGGGCGGGGGAGGTTAGGGGGCCCCTAGGCGCCTTTCTGGGTGAGGGGAGAAGCGGGGGAACAGTGGCTGGGTTTGCAGGGCCTCAGTGTGCTGAGGGCCCCTCTGCCTGGCCCTGGGTGGCGGCTGCCCCTCCCAGCGGGAGCCTCGCGGGGGGCGGGGGGGTCAGTGCACCCCTCCCGCCTCCCTCCCGCCTGGAGGCGGCTCTGCCCGGAACTGCGGGGCGGTGGCCGGGTGCCCGGCCTTGGCTCCAGCCTCCCTTCCCACAGCCCTGCCTGCGCCCAGGCTGGCTCCCCAGGCTCCTGCGCTGAGGTGTCTGAGAGGCAATTAGCCTGATTGTCTGTCGGGGGTGGCTGCGGGGGAGCAGGAAGGGGGCTGGGAGGGGGGCTCTGGCTACAGCACTTTGGCCTCCCTCCCCCACCCCACTCCCCGTCCCCAGCACCCCGCCCTTCCCCTCACACCAGGACCCTCCCGGCAGGACCCGCAGGCCCGGGGGTGGGACTCCCGCTGGCAGACGCCTCTGGGCCAGGGATGGGCAGGGACATCTGGGGGTCTTAGCCCTAGATCTTGAAGATGGGGGTGCTCCCGCCCAGCCCTTCCTCCAGAGTCACTGCCCCCTCTCCACAGCCAGGGCCCCCAGCAGTGCAGTGATGGGCCTGGGGTTGGGTCCCGGGCCAAGGGCAGGCCCCTCCCCACGCACCCCCGGGACCAGCCTTCCGTCGCGGCCTCAGCGGCCTGCTCCTCGTCACGGGACTGTGTGGAGAGGCGAAGGGCGGGCGGCGGTCACCAGGGCAGCGCAGGGCCCCGGAGCTGCGACCACAGAGCCTTCAACCCCCAAGTCAGCCTCCTCGGGAGAGAGCCCTGGGGAGGGAGGGAGGGAAGCCGCTCTCCGGGCCCAGGCAGCCCTTGGGCACACGCCATACTGCCCTCTGGGGCGACCCCCTCACCCAGGCCTCAGGGTCCCCCCGGTCCTCTGGGGGCCCCGCCTGGCTGGGTGTGGCCGGAACCTCCCCCTGGGCACGTGGGCCTGGAGGACTGCCCGGGGGCTGTGACGCCAGCCCCTGAACTGAGGAGCTCTGGGGTGCTGCTGCCTCTGCCCCACCAGCCGGTCCGGCCTCCATCCGCCACCCATCGCGGGCGCTGGTTCTGGGGCCTTGGGGTGCCGGGGTGTCTGACTGCGGCTCTCGGGCCCGCGCCGGCCGACCGCTGGGGCTCGGGCTCCCGCCACGGACATGCCCCGGCCCACGGGGGCCACTGAACTCGGAGGGGGAGGCGGGCACTCCCAGTGGCCACGAATGGGCCCGCAGGACCAGGACAGTGCTGGCCGCACCTGCCCCGCCCGCGCGTGCGCCCCGCGCCCTGGAAGCAGGTGCCGGGCTGGGGCTGGGGTGCAGCGTGCGCGCCCTCCCTGCCGTGCCTCGGCCGCGCGCCCTGGTCCCCTGCACCTCCCGCCCCCCGCCGCCCCCCACCCCCGCCGGTCGGAACACCGAGTCGTGAGCGAGCACAGGCCTGGGCGCCCTCCACTGCGGCAGGCCGTGGTGTTCGTGGGGCTCAGGGCCCACCAGGACGCGTGGCCCCCTCCTCGGCTCATGGTCCCCTGCCCTGCAGACAAGCTGCCCAGCCCTGCCATGCGCCCGCCGGCCGTGAATGCCGGGGTTCAGCCAGCAAGGCGTCTCCGGAGGTGACGAGCTGAGGGCTGGGGGCAGACCACGGATGCAGGGACGGGGGTGTCTACACAGTTGGGGGGAGCCGGGTGAGTCACGGTGGGCAGCAGGCAGGGGGCACTGAGCTCAGGGTGATGACTTCACGCCACAAACCCCACCGCCCCACGCCAGGGCTGCCTCCTGCGCCCGCCCCCAGCCCTGTCGGTCACTCGGCCACTTGGCCTGCGGGGACCCGGGGAAGAGGGCACCAGAGAGAGCAGGGTGGGGGTGAGGGGGAAGCAAATGGGAGGTGAGCCCTCGTTTGGGGGGCTTTCGGGGGGTGATTGGGATCCAAGTCGGTGAAGGCGCGTGTCAGACATTCATCAATGAACTGACCTCAGGCCCCTGGCCCGTCCCCCGCACCAGCCTTCCCACCGCCTCGCTCGCCGTCCCGGGCCCAGGGGCTCCGCCCCACCCCTCCCGAGGCCAGCCTCCGCGGGGACAGGGGTGTCACCGACGGCCCCCAGTGTGCTCCGGGGACGGGCAGTCTGTGCCCTGGGCCAGTCTGGAGCCATGAGCAGGACCCTCCGGGTGGGACGCAGGTTTCCGGGTGTGTGTGTGTGCACGTGTGTGTCCGCTGCCTGGTGGGTGCGGCCCCAGCTTCGGGTCTCTGCTGGGGGGTGGGAGGGGGCCTGGGCACCTTCAGGTCCCTCCAGAAGCCGGTGGTGGGCAGTGAGGCTGGTGTCGGGGGCGGGGCAGGGCAGGGCAGGGCCGCCCAGCCTCCACCCCAGCCAGACACACCACCCAGGCCTCCCGCCAGAGAGCAGGTGGAAGGTCGTCCCCCTCCCCGCGCCAGCCCCTGGGGCACCCACAGTGGATATCTGGGTAACTGGATTCACTGGCCCCGGACTGCAGACCCACAGGGCAGGCTCTGCCGGGGCCATGGGCCTGGCCCCCCCAGCGCGGTGGTGGGTGGATGAGCAGGGGGAGACTGAAGGGCACAGCGGGGCCCCGCCCTGGTCACAGGTGGGGCAGTAAGGGGTTTGGAGTCAGACTGGCCGTGCCAGCTCGGGGCTCCCCTCCGGGGACGCGGCCGTCCAGGGCGCTGAGCCTGCCCGAGAGAGCTGCAGCCTCCCCACCGCCCCCACGTGTCTGCGGCGGAGCGTGGGGCGAGGAGGCAGCCCCTCCCAGGCCACAGCCCTGCCCTTCCCCAGCGCGGGACTGGGCCGGGGCTGCTAGCCAGGCCCTGCCTCTGCGCTCCGGCTCGGCCCGCGGGACGAGGGCTGGGCCCAGACGGGCTCCAGGAGGCTGCAGGGCAGCCGTGGCCAAGATCGTGGCTCGGGCCCGCCCAAGGGTCAAGCTTCCCAGTGGCCCCGATGGCCGGCCTCGCCCCACACCCCCTCAGGCCGCAGTCCCCTTGAGGCAGGACGGGTCCTCAGAGCCTCTCGGGTGCAGAAGGGGCGGCTGCTCCTCCCCACACTGCATGCGTGTCGCCGCCTCACGGTATCACCGTTATTGCCTGTTAATTCGGGGGTTGCTGAAACCCCTCGTGCATGCGGGGCTGACCAGTGTGGGGAGTGGGCCGAACCCACGGTGTCCCCTCTTGACCTGGACTCCCCACGACGCACCCCAGCCCAGCAGGCACCCCCTCCCGCTCCGAGCCGGCACCAGGGCTGCGGGGTGGGCGGTGCCCCCAGGCCCGGGGCACTAACCAGCCTGTTCTCTCCCCTGCAGGGCAATCAGGACGCCACGGCTCCGCCTGAAGCGATGGCCCAGCCCTACCCCCCCGCCCAGTACCCCCCTCCGCCGCAGAACGGCATCCCCACCGAGTACGCCCCACCCCCCCCGCACGCCACGCAGGACTACTCGGGGCAGACCCCGGCCCCGCCCGAGCATGGCATGACCCTGTACACACCGGCACAGACGCGCCCCGAGCAGCCGGGCACCGAGGCCAGCACGCAGCCCATCGCCGGGGCCCAGACGGTGCCGGTAAGGGCCCCACCGCCCAGGGCTGCAGGGGCGCGTCCCCAAGGGTGGCTCGTGGGGACAGCCAGGGGCCGGTGGGCAGAGGGCCGGGAGGGCCCAGTGTGGAGAGGCGCTGCCCGCGAGCCACGCCCAGGGAAGGTGCTCCCTGCTTGGAGCACCCACCGTCGCACCAAGGGGCTTCCGGATGGTCCAGTGCCACAGCCAGCCCCAGCGCCCCAAGCCTCCACTTCAGCCCATGTCCCACTGATCTGGGTCATGGGGCAGCGGCAGTGACCAGTCCATGGGGGTGTGGGAAGCGGCCGGCCAGAGGCCTGGGCTGGGGCGGGGCAGGTGGGGAGGCCGTGGGAGAGGCGCGGGCCTGCAGGGCTATCTCGGGTGGCCAGTGCGCCTGCCCCTCTGGTCACTTGCAATCACCTGCCTGGCCGGCCTCCTGGCAGACAGCGCCGGTTATGTCGTGGTGGCAGCGCAGCTTGAGGACAAAGTGCCAAGCCCGCGCCTCTTGAAGATTTGCTGCCAGGCTGCTGCCCCTTCCTGCCCCCACCGCCTGCTCCAGCCCCTCCTGCCTCTCCCCGCGTGCATGCTCCGAGTGGTGCTCCTCCCCCCAGGGCCGGGCAGCCTCCCTGCTGGCTCCGTCCCAGCGCTGGCTGGCAGGGCCTGGGCAGGAGGCCAGCTCGCGGGCTCTGCCCAGGCGTGGCACCGCCCTGGCGGCTCCCGATGGTGCCCCCCCCGACACCTCCCCTGGTCCAGCCTGGCTCCCAAGAGGCTGCACGGATCCAAGTGTCACCCCCGTCCGCCCCGCGTGGGCAGCGTCACCCGTGCTCCTGCGGGGAGCCCACTGAGCTGCCCCAGGTGGACCCACCTCGTCCCCCCTCCCCACCTGACCCGAGTCTGTCGGGACCCTCAGACTTCCCTTCCACCCAGCGTCGCTGGTGCAGGCTGCTGCCCGTAGGCCCCCAGCTTTCCTGATGATGGACCGTGGGGCGGTCTTTTGGTCAGAAAGAACGATGAGCCAGTGGTGCAGAGGCTCGCCGCCACGGTCACGGCCGCTGGCTGGTCTGAGGGACGTTGAGGGCACCTGCTCAGCCCTCGGACAGCCCCTCCTCAAGGGGCGTAGGGACAGAGGGCTCCTGTCCGCACTGGACAAACGCCCGGCGGCGGCCGTGACACCCGGCCAGAGGGCCAAGCGGCGACAAAGAGAAGGCCACCCTCCATCCAGGCGACGTCGGCCAGCCTGCCGGCGCTGGGCACGAAGGCGGGGGGTTCAGACAAGGAGGGAGCGGCCTCCTGGGGGGCTCTCGTTCCCACCAGTCAAGGATGCAACAGCTGAAGGGGCCGGTCACGGCCTCCGAGCTGCCAGCCCGTCTTGGCCTGAGAGGACCCAGAGCCCGGGAGGGCGCGGACGAGGGCCTTGTGCTCAGCGGCCTCCCTGGGAACGCACCGGCCAGGGGCCCCTGCCTGGCGGGCAGCCCGTTCTCTCCAGCCCCGTCTCTCTCACACGCCCTGCGCGGGGCCCGGGCCCAGGCCTGCGGGGGTCCCTCCGGGAGCGGGAGCAGAGCCGACGCGTCCCAGGCCCCGGGGTCACGGCTGGTTAGTGGATTGGCCGGAAGGCGCCAGAGCCGCCCGGCAGAGCTGAGCCGCTCGCCACCAGGCTGTGCCCCCTCCTTGGTGCCCCAGGCCTCTTTCCTCCCTCCACCAGCAGCAGCAGCCACACCCCCAGGAGCTGTGGGAAGGGCCAGGGTAGGGGGACACCCCAGGCCCCCCAGGGTGGCAGAGCGTGCTGCCAGCACGCTGGGGGCGCGAGAACGACCCCGTCCAGGGGGCGCGCGCGGCTCAGGGCCGCCGGCTCCGAGATGCGGAAGGGGGAGCTCGGGCCACAAGAGTGGACACTCCCCGGCCCGGCGGGCCTCGTGGGAGGGCCAGGGAGCGCTCTGCGGACAGGGCGGAGAAGGGGGCGCCCCGGGGTGCGTCTTCTCCTGCCGCAGGAGCAGGCCTTGCTCCGTCCCAGGCCCTTGCCTGCAGCCGAGGCCCCGCCTGACCCCTGGCCTCTGCCCAGGGCCCCCGGCCCCTCCCCGAGCTGGCTCCTGGCCCTGCGAGGGAGAGGGGCCCTGGTGCCCGGGGACAGGCCTGGCAGGGCGCAGCAGCCGCGCCCCCGAGGCGGGAGGCGGGAGGCGGGAGGGTGTTCTCCCTGCATTGAGCCACTGAAGCCAAAATTGCTTTTTTTTAAAAAAAGAATAAAGAAGAAAGCAAGGCCCAGAAGGGGCGCAGGGGCTGGGTGCTGGGACGCAGGGGCGGGGCCGGCCCCTCCAGAGCGCCCTGTGCTTGGGGCGAGGGTGTGGGGCAGAGGGGAGCCCCCTTGTGGCTCCAGCACCCCATTTCTCCCTTCGGGACCGTTGGGATGGGGCCCAGAGGAGGGTCTGGGGATGGGAGAATCACAGCTCGGCCCTGCTGTGGGGAAGGGCAGGCCGGCCTACCCAGGCACCCCAGCGTGAACGGCACCCGTCTGGGCGCCCCCCACCCAGGTCTCCTCTCCTCTGGGCGCAAACTGGGCCTCCCTGAGGTCCTGCCCGCCGGCCGGCCTGGCCGTTGCCCCCTGCTGGTTGGAAGCCAGCATCGCACGCCCTCTCCTGGCCGGATTCCTCCATCCGGGGACGCCGGCAGTCACCAGGAACCCCCAGGAGCCCCAGGATGCCCGTGCGCGGGGTGCGCCGGGCGTGTGGCACCCTGCCCGCTGTGCATCCAGGGGTGTCTCAGGCCTCTGCGAGGATCAGCTCGGCTGGGCTTCAGCTGTGATCGGGCAGGCCCGGCCCTCCGCGGGTCCAGCGCGGGGCCCTGCGGTCAGACACGGGCGGGCCCCAGTGGAGGGGCAAAGGGCGTAGGCACAGGCCAGCCGGCAGGACCCTGAGGTGCAGGTGCCATGCCCTGGGTGGGATCATGGGATGGGATCGTCCAGGCCGGGGCTGGGGGGCCGGTCTCTAGTGCCCCCCGCCCGTGGCTGGGGAGCCCGGGGGCGGCTCACAGCCCGGTCCTGTCCCCGCAGCAGACAGACGAGGCAGCCCAGACGGACAGCCAGCCGCTCCTGCCCTCCGACCCCACAGAGAAGCAGCAGCCCAAGCGGCTACACGTCTCCAACATCCCCTTCCGGTTCAGGGACCCCGACCTGCGGCAAATGTTCGGGGTGAGTGTGTGGTCCCCCCGGCCCCTACCCCGCACGCAGCCTGCGGTGCCAGAGCAGCCCCGGGTCCCGCCTCCAGGACCCCCCCACCCGGGCGCAGCCAGCGTGTCCCGAGTGTGTGGGAGGGGGGCGACAAACTCGGGGTGACCCCGAAGCCCACCCTACCTGGCCCTCAGGCCGCCCTCCACAGTGGCACCAGGCCCAGTGGGACACGGGCTGGGCAGGCCTGTGCACGCCAGGCAGCCTTAACTGCTGGCCCCGTCAAACCCGACTCCGGGGCCCCTGCACCCCCAGGGAGCACCGGGCCCGGCCTGGCCCTGCCTCCCCTGTGTCGGGCCCAACACTCAACCTCTCCCGACCTGGGGTCCCAACCTCTCCCTCCTGGCCTGTCCACCTCTGCTCCTGAACGCACTGTCACGTCACTGTGCCAACCTCAGGACGGCCCTGGGGTCCCCGGTCACTCTGTTCTGCCCCCACGTGACTCCCAACCTGGCCCCCGTTCTTCCTGCCCTCCCCCCAGATCCTCAGCTCTGCCACAGCGCGGGCCTGGCCCCTGACCACACAGGCCTCCTCTCATCCGCCCGCCCTCCCCTGACCTCCACCAAATGTCCACTCTCTTCTTGGGGAGCAGCCCCCACTGATGGGGGGGCTTAGACCCGGTGGGTGCTGGTGGGACTTAGAATCATCCAAAGATGAGGATTCGGCTGTCAGCCCTGGGCCTGGGCGGCGACCAAACCTCTCTGTGCCTGTGACCCCCTGAACACAGGGGCCAGGGCCTGGATTCCCGTCTGCTCGGGCCCGTGCACCCCTGCAGGCTGCCGGGGCACCGCCCCCCGCTCCAGCACTTGGCAGGGCCAGTGACTCCACATCACCCCCCCTGTCCCCTTCAACACCCTCCCCGAGATTCCGGGTGAGGGGGGAACCCCTCAGCGCACACACTGGAAGCCTCAGAACAGACCCCTGCGGCCCCACAGGCATTGTTTGGGGACCTGGCTCCCAGGTTCATGTCTCGTGCCAGTGAGGGGGCCAGGGCTGCGCCTGGGGTCTGGCCAGCGACCGGCAGGCAGGGGCGGCGAACACCAGCCTGACCGGCCAGCGCGCTGGGCGGGCGGAGGGTGTGGGCCCAACAGCACAGCAGTGGGCACGGCAGCGTCCCAGCGCCCCTCGCTCAAGCCCCAGCTCCTCCCTCCCCCTCTCGGCAGCCCGTGCCCCCACCCACCTGGGGCTGCGGCACCCCCTCTCCCAACGGGGCCCCCACTTCTAGAGCCTCACCCCCTCCCCGCACCCCGCGTGGGAGGAGCTCTCCAGTCCTCTCCCCTTCAGTGTGAGTTAGGAGCGGTGGCTGGCAACGTGTGGGACAAGCCCAGCAGGACAGTGGGGACGTCGGCGCCCCGTCCCCCCCACGCCTCCTCCTCCCTGCAGGCTGTGGGGGGCCACCAGAGTCGGGCAGGGGGAGGGGCCCCCGGGGAGCCGGTGCGGCCTCCGTTCACTCTCGTCTCCCCGCCCTTCTCTGTCTCTGCAGCAATTCGGAAAAATTTTAGACGTGGAGATCATTTTTAACGAGCGGGGCTCCAAGGTGGGTGCCGCCCAGAGGCCGCCACCATTACAGCGCCGGCTGTAGGTCCCGCCAGGCTAACGTGTGACATGTGCGTTTCCTTCCTGGAGAGCTTCGAGCCCGCGGACCCCTGAGGACACGGGTGCTTGTACCCCCCGCCCCGCCCCGCCCCGCCCGCCGTCTGTGTTGTTGCCGCCACTGCTGACGCTTCCTTCTCTCTAAGCTGCCAGGACCCCCTGTGGGCGCCCAGAGCCTCGGCCCTGGCCCGGGGTCCCCCCCGCCGGACCCCCGAGAGCTCCCTGGCTGCTGGCCGGCCTCGAGTTGGCCTGAGGCTGGGGCTGGCTGTGGGGCGGGCGCCCAGAGGGTGCCCAGCAGAGCTGGCGCTGCTCCGTACTCTGGGAGGAAAGGCACGTCCCCCGGGCTCCTGGGCTGAAGGCGGGTGGGGCTGCCCCCAGGGCCCGAGGCCAGCCGGGACCCCAGGGCGGGTGAGGGCGACCGTCCTGCCCCGGCCGGGTGAGCGCCTCCTGGAGTCTCAGACTGTCCCCTCGGAGGGGCCGGGCGGTCAGCTCGGGCCGGGCGCAGGCCAGGCCATGCTGCCCCCGCTGGCCGGTACCCCTCCCGGGCGTCCACCCTGTGGCCCCAGGACAGACTTCTGGGCTGCCCGAGTCTCTCCTTAACTCACCTGACACCCCTCTCTCCCCCCCAATCTCTCTCCGTCTCTTCCCGGCCCCCTCCCGGCCCCCGCCCGCCCCTCCTCTCCCGTCCGTCTTCTCCACTCGCAGGGTTTTGGGTTTGTGACTTTTGAAACTAGCTCAGATGCTGACCGAGCCCGGGAGAAGCTGAATGGGACGATCGTGGAGGGACGGAAAATTGAGGTGCTCAGATAAGTGTGTGGTGGCAGGGATGCCCCTGGTCCCCGCCCCGCCGCGACCCTGCAGAGAGCCAGGCGGGGCGTCCTGTGGCAGGAGGCAGGGGGCAGGGAGGGGCCGCGCCGAGGCCAGAGCCCGGCTGTCCCCTGCCTGCCATCTCTGGTGGTCCAGATCAGGGACCCCACCTCCCTCTCCTTCCTGAAGAGGCCCCCCAACAGTGGGGATCAGCCAGACGCTGGGAGAAGCCTCAGAAAGCGCGTGTGGGGTGACTCCAAGGAGCTGTCTGCCTCCCAGCTAGGAGGGACTGTTCATCATGGGGGGAGGGGGTAGCCCCTCCAGCCAGCACCCCGCCGTCGGCCCCCACCCTGTCCCCAGGTGAGTGGCAGCAACAAGTGGCCAAGTCTGGGCAACACCCAGCGCAGGGCAACAGCAGGAAAGAAGGGGGTCCCCCAACCCCCCAACTTGACCTTCCTGGGGGACTGCACGTCCCCACCTCAGAGCCATGGCGCTGGTGTCCTGACAGGCAGGACAGAGGGGGTGGCCTGGGGGGGAGGGCCAGTCGCAGGCAGAGCCCGTGGACCAGCAGCAGGAGGGCGGGAAGGAGGGTTCCAGAAGCTCAAGTACCAGAGGCACTGACCTCAGCCCGCTCCCAGCGGGCACCCACGCTGGACATGGCAGGGAGGCCGTGTGGCCTGACCCCTTCCTCAGGCTCGGCCAGGCCCTCCCCTCCTCTCCTGCCCAGCCTGGCCCCTGGGGCCTGCAACCTTCCCCTGGGCACATGCGCCATCCTGTTGCCCGGGACTCTGGCCTTGGGGACTGGGGTGCCAGCCCATGGTCAGCCAGGCAGGGAGCACTTTGTCGCGAGTCCACTAGGCAGCTCCTCAACAGCCCCAGGGGCAGAAAGGCCGGCACAGGTTTTGTGAGAACGGCCTGTGAAGCTCGAAGGCCAGTGGGACAGGGTGGGGTCTGGCTGGCACTGGCCAGTGCCGGGCACAGTGGGGGCTTGGCTCACAGGGTGGGCTGGTGGCAGAGATGCAAGGGGCCCCCCTCCTGCAGGCCCCACCCCCCGCCCGTGGCAGCCACACAGCAGCAGCACAGAGCAGAACCAGGGCGACCGGTGGCCCCAGGAAGCCAAGCTCTCCTCACCTGGCCCTCTCCCTGCAGGTCAATAACGCCACCGCCCGCGTCATGACCAACAAGAAGACCGCCAACCCTTACACCAACGGTGAGGGGCCAGGGCCCAGGGGCTGCGCCGCGGGCTTCCTGGAGACCCGCACCCCGCCCACCCCAGTCCCGGGGGGGGCCAGAGTGCCGGGGGCTGCCCACCTGCACCCGCAGCCACACGTTGGCCGGCCCCGGGCCCTCCCAAGCACACAGGGCGCCGGGGGCCACGTGGCCACTTCCCGGGTCCCCACTTAGGAGGGAGGCCTGGCTAGAGGCCGTTCTGTGCGGGTGGGGCCCGGCCTGCCTGGCCTGGGAGCACTGGAAGCCGAGGCCCCGTCCGTGGCGGGCACCAGCGTCCACGCAGCTCACTGCATGCCGGTGCGGACCTGTGCAGACGGAGCTGCTGAAGCTAGCGCAGCTGCCGGGGCGCGGGGTCCCAGAGGGGGCACCACGCACTCCTCCCGTCTCAAGGGCGCCCGTGGGGGCTGGTTCTGCTCTGAGCAGAGACTCGGCCTTTTCTAGTTCCGTCCCCGGGGCAGCTGCCCTGCGCGCGGGTAGCAGTGTCCCTGCAGGGAGGGCTGCGCTTCTCACCCCCAGCGGGGCCGGGCGGCAGAGCCACCGCAAGCTCTTCCCAAGCTCTGGGGCTCGTGCGCCCTGGCAGGGCCGGCCCAGGGGCAGGCAATATTTTGAGAAGAATCTAGAAGGCACCCCAGGAGCCAGGGGTGGGCGCTCAGCCAGGCGAGGCTGCGTTAAGGGGCGGGGGCCGGGCTCTGTACTGCAGGGGGAGGGTCTCCCGCCGCGGCCTCAGGAGGTCCCACGGGGCTCAGCGGGTGTCTCGGGTCCCCCCCCAGTGGGAGTGGGGAGGGGGACAGAACGTTGGTGACGGGTTCCTTGGCCTCTGTTGCAGGCTGGAAGCTGAACCCCGTGGTGGGCGCAGTCTACGGGCCTGAATTCTATGCAGGTAAATGCCGGGGCCGCCTGACTGGGTATCGGGCGCTCACTGGCCAGGTGGCTCTGGAGGCGCCGCCAAGGTGCATCCGCGTGGGCGCGGCCAGGTGTGGGGCGAGGCTGCGTGAGGCCCTCCCCCATCGAGCCCCCCCCTTCACACCCCCCCACCCCGTCACCCCACCCCGTGTGTGCCCCCACCCTCGCGGCCTTGCCTCTAATGGCCTCCTGTCTGGCGCCTTTTCCTGCAGTGACGGGGTTCCCCTACCCCACCACAGGCACAGCCGTGGCCTACAGGGGCGCGCACCTCCGGGGCCGGGGCCGGGCCGTATATAACACGTTCCGGGCTGCGCCGCCCCCGCCCCCCATCCCAGCTTACGGAGCGTGAGTACCTGGGGGGGCAGGGCGGGAGGCATGCAGAGAGGCGGGGGCTGGGGAGGGAGGCTCGGGCAGCCAGAGGCTAGATGACCTTAAGGGTGGGCGACTCGCGCTGTCCCCCCCAACTCCGCCCTGCCACATGGCCAAGGGTCCCTGGCACTTACTTGGGCATTTGGAGCCAACCCCCCATCGGGGGCGTTCCCGGGATGGCGGCCGCCCCCGCGCTCTGCCAGGGCCTTCGCCACCGCGGTCCCCCGGGGAAGCCCTCGGCTGCGGTGGGGGGAGGGCGGCGGGGAGCTGGGCCCCGGCCCCAGGGTTTGTGGGAGAAAGGAGCTGACCAGCAAGGGTGTTACTCTATTGTTATACCAAAACAGGGCACTGGAGCAAACGCTTGTTAAAATGCCAGTCCCATGGGCAGGCTGCCCCCTCCCTCCGCAGACACCGGAGCCGGCCTACCCCACCTCTCCAGCGTTCCCACCACTCTCTTGTCCGTTTGCTTCCAGGGTCGTGTATCAGGACGGCTTTTATGGTGCTGAGATTTATGTAAGTGCAGCCCCGGGGGACGGAGGGCGGCTGGGCAGACATGGGCACGGGGTCTTCTCCCGCCTGTCCCTCTACCCCCAGCCCACACCTGTCCTGGGGACCCAGGAGGATGAGGATACCCTGTCTGCCCAAAGCGTTCTGGGAGACTGGGGCACAGACAACTCCACCGTCTGTGCTCAAACAGGGAGCAGGCCCAAGCCCCCCGGGGCCACCTCTCCTCATTCCCCAGGGCAGCTGTGATGGGGCAGTGGGCACCCCCATATTCTTAATTGCACTGGGGTCACTGCACGAGCCCGCTTGGGCATCCTGCGGCCAGTCCAGATGCCCCGAGAGAGACTAGCGGCAGGGACACTCCCCTGGTTGGGGTCCTCTCCCCCTTCACGGAGCTGCACTTACTGCTCTCCCGAGCTCAGCGTCCTTGCTGCCCACACACTGCCCAGCCCAGCGCCGCCCTCACTCTGTCCCTGTCATCCGACTGGCCGCTTGCGCCAGGGCCGAGGCGCGGTGTGCGTGACAGCCGGGGCCAGGCTGGCCCCAGAGGGCAGGCCGCTGCAGCCCGCCAGCACCAACCCCCGGGCAGGGCCGGGCAGCTGGTCTGTGCGGAGCCGGCCCACGGCCAGACACCGCTGGCGCCCGCTGGCGTGTGAGCGAGTGGGTGAACGGACAGACGGACGGAGAGCCCCACTCCCCGCCTCGCCTCAAACCGCACTACTTGACGGGCCGGGCCGGGCCGCAGGCCCGGGAGACCAGCAGCTAGTGGGCCCCGGGCTGGGCGCCACCCCACCCTCACTGGGCAGAGCGAAGCCTCGGCCAATGCCTGGCTCAGCCCCTCCGGCCTTTCCCCGCCGAACCCACTAAGCCTGTGTGCGTCTCCCCGCAGGGCGGCTACGCAGCCTACAGATACGCTCAGCCGGCGGCGGCCGCGGCGGCCTACAGCGACAGGTACAGCTGGGCGGCGCGGGCAGAGGACAGGCGGGGTCCAGAGGGCTGGGCTTCGCGCGGGACCCGCGGGCCCTCCGCCAGGCGGGAGCGTGGCCTGCGCTGAGAGCAGGTCTGAGCAGCTTGGCGACCCCGAGCCAGCGAACCCCGACTTGTCTCACTTCCCACTTGCACGACAGGGAGGCTGTGGGTTCGGGGCGGCAGAGTCCCCCTGCCTCCCCACCTAGGAGGCCCAACACGCCAACCCCTCAAGCTACGGGGGCCCCGAGGGGAACTAGGAGCCCTCACACCGGCCCCTGGGGACTCTGATACTTTGCTCCCCGAGCTCTCGGGGCCGCAGCCTTTGCTCAGAGGAAGGCGGCAGGTCCCTCCCAGGGGTGCTGGAGCCGTGGGTGGGCCCCTGCACGCTGGAGCAGCCAGCAGCCTCCGCCCGGCAGCGAGCACCCCGACGGCCGGGAGGCTTCTCTGCTTGGAGCCAGGCCCCACGGGGCTCTGCCGGGCAGCCCGGCCTGACTCCAGCGGCCTCCCTGCCACCCTCCCGGGCAGCTGAAGTGCAAGCTCCCCGCAGCCTCTCGTTGCCTCTCTGTGCCCGCTGGGCAGGGGACCCGTCCGTGCCCCGGCCACAGCCCCGCCCTGCGCTCCAGCAGCCGGAGGTCACACACGGGCGCGTGGCCTGAGGACAAGGGGCACCCTGGCCCCATCTCCCCGCCCTTCTCGGAGCTCCTTCCCCAGCATCGTGCCCCCCTCGTCTGGGGGGTCCGGGTAGATCCCCAAGCAGGGACCCCTCATTCTGGTCCACGTGGCCCGTGCAGGAGAGGCCGCCCCGGGCGGGGCCGCCCCCGGGGGTGTTGACGGGGCAGTGTCTCCGGAACAGGCAGGAAGGAGGGCGGGCGCTGGAGGGCACCCCCGAGGAGTCTGGGAGGTGGCAGGAGGCCATGGCCCCCACTCCCTCCTTCCCTCGCTGTCTCCCCAGTTACGGCAGAGTCTATGCCACGGCGGACCCCTACCACCACACCATCGGCCCGGCGGCCACCTACAGCATCGGGACCATGGTAAGGGGCCGCGCGCGCGCCCTGAGGCACTGCGGCAGGGCGGGTGGGCGGGCGGCGGGCCTGGGAGAGTGGCCTGGACCCCAGCCAGCGCTGGGCCTGGGCCTGAGCTGGGGGGCGTGGCCCTGGTGCCTCGGAGAAGCGTGTGGGAGGCCGGTCGCCTGGACCGACCCCTTTAAGAGTCCCCTCAGGCCTCCATGACCCCCCTCCCCGGAAAACCCAGCCTGCCCAGCAGGGCCGCTCCCTCGTGTGGATGTACCTGTGTCCCTCTCGTGTCCTGTCGTCCCTTTTGCGCCTCGGCTTACGGCTAGGGGGCAGCGAGGACGCCCCGGCCCCTCCTGCTGGCCCACCGCGGGGAGGGGGCCTGCCTCCGGGCAGCGGGGGTGGAGGGGTGCTCCTGGCAGCTGCCCCATGCGTGTGTGTGGGTGTGTGTGTGGGTGTGTGGGGCACGGCCCGGCCCACTCTGCACCCAGGACTTGCTTTCGGACACCGCCCCGCGCAGCCGCGGCCCACCCGGGGCAGCCGGCGCTGGCTAGCTTGGCGTCCAGCATCAAAGATGAAAACCTTGCTGCGGGTGCGGAAGCGGGAGGCCGAGCCCGCCTCCCTTGCTTTGGGTCACTCCCTCCCGATTTTTGTTTTGTCTTTTTTGACTTTGAACAACCCCCAGACCGCTGTCCGGAGCCCTGGGGCGTGGAGGCCCTGGGCCCTGTCAGCCGGCCCACGGCAGCTGCAGGCTTGCTCGAATGCCCAGGGGCTTCCTTCTCATGTTCTCGCTTCCTGAGATTTTCCATTTTTTCCCCAATTCCTCTCCTCTAGCATTTGCCGTTTTCTCCCCTTTTCTGGCAACACTGGTGGGCGAGGCAGGCGGCTCCTTGGAGGCCTCCCTGATGCAAGGGAGTCCGGGCTCCAGAAAGTGCCCACAACCTGGACCCCCGCAGGGTGAGGGCCAGGCCCAGGCGGGCACGGGAGCAGGGGCAGCAGGGGCTGCAGAGAGCCCCCAGGCGCCCGAGCCCTAGAACAGGCAGGCCGGGTGGAGCCACGCCGCTCCCGGCAGGAGGGGTTGCAGCAGCCCCTGGAGTGCTGAGGGATGGGGGTCTCACTCAGATGCCTCTCGCTAAGAAGAAGAGAGCAGCTGAGGGGCATGGCAGCCTGGCCCCCCAGAACACTGTTGGGGCTCCAGGGACCCCTGGCCTGAGACCCCCCACATCAGAACTAGGCCCTGCGGCCCCGTGACAGCCACCGCCACCATCCCCAAGGCCGGCCCTAGGGGGGAAGAAAACGGGATTGAGCTATTTCTCCTTCTGTTTTTCCTTATTTTTTTTTCCTTTTTGCTTTTTCCCCCCTCCCAAGAGGCGGTACTGATTGGCTGTTTTCCATCTTTGATGTTGCAGGCTAGCCTCTGCCGCGGAGGGTGCAGCCGCTTCACCCCCTACTAGCAAGAGGCCCAGCCCCTAACAGCATTCACTGACTGCCTAGCACACTCCAAACCCGGCAGTCCCCCAGGGGCCCGGAGCTCAGGCGCCCCCGCAGCCGGCGCCGCTGCCCTCCGCCAACTAAGCCCATAGGTCTCACCTCCAGCCAGCGGGCCTCCCCCACCCACGATGGCGTGTGTGTCTTTGACCCTGGTCCCCCCTGTATGTCTGAACCCCTGGTTCCTATTTTGACTTTGTTGACCTTGTGCTTCCCCGGCCGCTCCAGGTACGGTATGCACAGCGGGGGGGCCAGGCTGGGCAGGAGACCCTCCCCGCGCTAGCAGGCGCGCCCTCCAGGGCGGGCCCCGCTCCCCAGAGCCCCGGAAGACGCCCGGCTCCTCTGGCCTCCCCGGGAAGCCAGCCAGCCAGCCCTGGGCCACAGCCACGCCCGGGCTGCGGGAGGCGAGGGGATCCCCATAGCCGCCATGTACCCCTCAGCCTTCACCCGGCCAATCACAGGAGTAGCTGCCTTGGCCCGCTTCGTCCCTTCAGCTGAAACGAGTGTTTCTGATTAGATTTTACTGACGCGTCCTGCCGGAGCAGCGGCAAGCGCGTCTGTGGGCGGGCACTGCCCCGGCCCAGCTCCCGCCCCGGCCCGCGGCCACCTGCCCTGCAGGGCGGACGGCCCTCCCCGCACCCCGGGCGGCACTGGCCCGGCCTTCCTAGCCGCCTCCGCCAGCGGCCTCCCCGGGACCCCCGCCCTGCCCCGCAGATGGGGGTCTGCTCCACACCGAGCTCCCGCCACACGTGGGCTCCTGGCAGCTGGGGAGCGGGGCAGGCCTGGGGGCGCCAGGACCCGGGGCCCACTCCACGGCCTGTGTCCACGAAACTGCAAGTCCTGCCTTTCTGTTTCTGTTGTAGTGAAAGCTTCCACGTTTACTTCTTGGACCGCGAAGGGCAAAAACAAAAAACAAAAAAACAAAAAAAATCACAAAACAAAAAACAAAACAAAAAAAGATGTTACGATCCAAGCAACCACCACAGACACAAACCCAACCAAGAAGCATCCACCGCGTCCACGCCGGCCCCGCGCACCGCAGCGAGGAGCTCGTCGGCCGCGCCGCCCAGTGTGGGCGCGGGAGGGGAGGGGCCCCGTTTTCTACCAAGTCTTCCTTCCGGCCCGCTCCCAGGCCGTGGGGGCCCGCGGGCCCGAGTGGAAGGGGGCGCCAGGACTTGCCCTCTGTTGCCAACGGTGCCGGCGGCCTCAGGGGAGGAGAGCTGCCCACCCCGGGCGCCAGCCGGCCGCGCCGTCACCCCCAGGCCACGCTCTCTGGGCCCCGGCTCCCCGCTGCCATGCTGCCCACGCCCGTCCTGAACACCCCGGAAGGAGTCCTCGCCCGAGACCGCCCAACCCCAGCACCAAGGGCTGCCGTGCTTCCAGACTGGGCACCCCCGGCCGTACCCCCATGTCGGGGCCTAGGCCACCGAGCCAGGGTCGTAGAGGGTGGGGGCTGGACTGAGCGCGTCCCCCTGGGCCAGCCCCTCCCTCCGCCTTTCTGGAGGTGGCCCCGGGAGGGTGTGGGGCGCGAAGGCTGCTGCCCGCTGGGACCGGCCACCCTGCCCTGCCCTGCAGCCCGACCGCAGGGGTGCGGGCCAGGCCGGCGCCCAGCTGCACCTGGTGCTAGAGGGGCGCTGGCCACACCCCAGCCCCTCGGGGCTCCCAGGGCAGGTCCGGCAGAGGGGAGAGGCCCAGGTAGCAGGGAGAAGCCCCTGGCCAGACAGGCACGGCGGGAGGAAGGGAAGCAGCAAGAACTGAGAAGACAGAAGACTCCCGGCTCGGCGCCACCGTCTCCTGAGACCAAGGAAAACTACACCTCACTTTATATTCAGCATCAGCTCCTGAAGCGACTGAAACGAGATTCCCCTTTTCTATTCCCGTTGTACATAGACCCCCGCCCCAGCCTCTGCTTCGTCCTCGGCTGTTCTGGACCCTCCTCCTGCAGCAGCTCGCCCAGCCCGGCCGGGCCGCAGCCGGCCCCGGGTCCCTTTCTTACCATTCTGTATGCTTCCCGGCGTGACCACGCAGACCGACAGTATTATTATTAAGATTATTAATAAAGATTTTTCTTCAAACCAGGACAGCTCTTTCTGATTTGTGGGAGGCACAGGAGCCCCAGAACGCCCGCGGGGTTGGACGGGCACTGGCCTCAGGACACAGCATCCCTACCGCGGGCTGCAGCCAGGCGGCCAGCGGCCAGTTGGAACCCCAGTGGGCGAGCCTTGAGCCCATCCCTGCTCCCACAGCCGTCTCGCGCCTCCCGTGTAACCAGCAGCTCGCCCCCTCACAGGCTGGGCACAGGGTGTCCCTCGTGGGAGCAACGCACCTGGGAGGCAGAAAGGCCTCCGCGGCCCACCCACACGCTGCCCAGGAGCTGTGGCCGGTGGACAGTGCAGAGAGGGGGCCCCAGTGGTCCTGGGGCGGCTGTTGCTGGTGCTGGGAGGACACCTCGGGCGTGGCCCACACCACGCCCTGCCACCTTGCTGGCCAGCGAGGCCCCAAGGAGGTAAGTGGGTGCTCCAGCCCCCAGTCCCGCAGAGGGTGGGGGAGCGCGGGCGGGGGCCGGATCCCAAAGACCACGCAGGCGCTGCCCGGGCCGCACCACACCGAGGCCAGCGCGCTCTGCTGCTCCGTCGTCTTCCCCCATGGGAGGCCCAGCCTTAAATGGCGACGTTCATTTCCCTGCGTTGGCCGGCCGGCCTCGCTCGGGGGCTGTGGGTGTGGCCCTGCTACTCACTCACCAGGCAGAGCTGCCAGTGTGACGCCCTCCCCCTCGGCGTGCGATGTCAGGGGACCAGCTCAAAAGGGCTCGTGAAGAGCAGCAGGCCATGCAGCCGTGCCGCCCCTTGGGGCACCCGGCGCCGAACCCCACCTCAGGATTCAGGGCAAAGGGCCAGGGTCTCCAGCTCGGGTGCCCCTGGTACAACACTGGGGAGGTACCCAGCACTGCAGTGACCCATGAAACCCAAAGTCCAGCGAGCACCTCCCCCTGGCATCAGCTCACGCTCCCCAAATCAGTTAGTCTCAGGAACCTGGGGTGCCCCCTCCATCACTGCAGGCGGCAGGGCACGTCCTGTCCTGCATGAGCCAAACGTCTCCACCAGGCAGACTCACCTCCTGTCACGGCACCGAGAGGCTGGGCCAAAGGAGCCACGTGAGGTGGAGAACCCCCACGTCACCCGGGACAGAACCCCAGAATACCAGCACGCTCTGCAGCCCACAAGAGGCAGGTGAGCACCTTTTAGAAGCGGGACTGGGAGGTGGCAAACCCCAGCGGGAAGGTGGTGGGGCCGCACCGCCCCCTGGTGGCCTCTCCCCTCACCACAGCGCAAGGCCACAGGCGCTGAGCCAGGCAGGAGGCCCACCCTGAGGAGTGACTCCAGCTGGGAGTCCACCGGGCGCCCCCGTCCACATCCGGGGGCACAGGACAAGGGAGCAGTGAAGGAACCCGTGTCACTGACTACAAGGCCCAGGGGAAGAGACCCCAAAACAAGGGACTCAAAGTCTCTGACCCCATCGAAGGCTCACAAGACCCCACTGGATAGAGCAAGAGAGAGAAGGTGGGCCCATGCGCGGTGCCCCCCAAGTCATGAAGTCCAGAGAGCCCGCCCAGGCAGCCCCACGATGGCCCAGGGCGGGCAGGTGCGGCTGGACAGCTGTCTCCACCAGCTCACCACCCTCCCCCAGGGCAGCCCAGCCTCGGCTCACACCTACTCACACCCCAGCAGCTGGGAGGGCTCCAGGGAGACGGGGCCAACCCTCCCCGCCCTCCTGCGGCGCCCTCACTGCTCAGCGGGGGCTGCACGCCCGCCCGTCTGGGTGCCTTCCTGGGCCCTGCCCGGCCTCCCGCTGCCTGTCAGGAGGAGGAGCCAAGGCACATGGCGTGTGCGCCAGCTGTACCCGTGCCACAGCCAGAAGTACCTCAGAGTTCACAGGCACAGCCGCGGGGCCCTTCTCCAAGTGCCAGGTCAGGGCTGCTGTCTCCAGGCCCAGGCCCTCTCTGCGCCCCCAACCCCATGGGGCCTCTGCCATCTCAGCCCTCACCCCTGGAAACGCCTCTCCCTGCCCCGATTGAGGCTGGCTTCTGACTGTTCCTTCTGCAGGAATAAAGGGTGCCGTGGAGGTCTGAGCCCCTCAGCCTCTGGGGAAATACCCTTGATGGGAGTTTTCTGGGCTAAAGCGCCCCAATCCCCTCCCTCTTTCCTGGGGACTATGTACCACGGAGAGAGACTAGACAGAAACAGGAAACCGGCTTCCAGATTCTCCTCTCACCAAAAGCCAGGCCTCAGGGACCGGGTCCTGTGTCCGCCCGCAGGGAGGCCCCCCACGAAGACGCACAAGTGCCAAGTCGAGGAGACACGTGCTTTAATGTCCGCTCAGGTAGGTGCGGAGTAGACCAGGGCAGCCCGGCCCCACTCGGCTCGGGGCACCCGAAACCCCTCCTTGGGGACGGGCTCCACCAGGAACTCCACGCGGCCGTCCCGGCCGGGCACAGCAGCCGCCACCGCCAGGTCCACCACGCGGTACTGATTGACGAAGGCCAGGCCCAGCAGCGTGGGCTCCTCTGGCCCCGGCAGACCCCGGCCCGGAGCGCCGCCCGCCCCACCGCAGCAGTGGATCCGGAAGCACCGGGCAAGGGGCAGCAGGTAGGACCAGTGCAGGGTGCAGCTGAGCCGCAGCCCTGCGGCGGGGGCCTCCCCCTCAGGTACAGCCCGCTGCCAGCCCACCTGAGAGACGGTGACGGCCTGCACCTGGGCCAGAGGGGTCAGCAGGCTGTCGGCGCCCACCACCTGGTGGAGAGAAGACTCAGCACCCCTTCGAGCGGCTCATTCCACCCCGCCCCTGACCCCCACCCTTAAGTCCCCGAGCTGAGGCAGGGCCAGTGAGCGCCCAGCTCGGGCACATGTGGCCGGCTGGGCCAAGGACAGACGCCTCTGCCCGAGTCCCCCCCCCAGGTGCCCGGCGCCTCACCTGGATCTCTCCCAGGCGGCAGACAAAGTCCTCTCCGTCCCTGCTGCCCGCGCGCCGGGAGAAGCTCACGAAGAGGTCACGCAGGAGGCACCCGCGCAGGCTCACCTCGTAGCAGCTGCAGAGGCGCAGGGGCGGGTCATGGGCTGTGCCACACAGACCTGTCCCCCCGGGAGCCCACCCCACACGGGCTGACCGCTCCCATGGTCTGGGGTGGTCCTGAGTCCAGGGATACTGACACGGGAGGCTGGCCCAGGCCCCTCCACCCCCAGTCTAGGATTTCCCACAGGGACCCCACCCGTCGTCCCCTGCTGTGTGGTGCGGGACTCACCGTTGGACCCAGCCCCCGCTGAGCGGCTGCCCACAGCGGCCCACCCATCTGGCCAGCTTGGTGGGGGGCACCCGGAGGGGCCGGGGCCTGAGCTTGGTTTGTGCTGCAGAAAACACCAACATGAGCAAGAGTCCAAAGGGGGCTGCACCTGGGTGTCCACCAAGGAAGGGGCCCCAAGGTTCCCAAGTGGGCACAGGTCAGGCCTCGGGAAGGACGATAGGGTCAGGGGCACGGAGATGGCAGCTCCGGCTGGCCCCTCCCTCAAAACGCCACAGCCAGTAGAAGGTTGCTGCCCAAGGCTCGTGGGACAGAGACCGCAGGCCGTACAGCAGGCTGCGCCTCCCAGCGGGGCCAGGGCAAGAACCTGGAGCTGAGAGGTGAACCTCCCTGTCCTGGCCTGGACCACAGCGCTGGACACTGCATGGCCGCCCCCCCTGGACTCCTCCCCACAGGGGCAGAGCCAGGCCAACCTGTTTACCATTCAACTCCGAAGCGTCACCAATGCGGCAGCTGCCCGCCTCCCCCGTTGTCAGCTCCAGAGCCACCCTGACACCCGAAGGCCCCTCTAGCTTGTACACCATGGACAGGTAGATTCTGGGCGGCACTGGGACGAGCAAGGAGAACAGCCTGGAGGAGGAAGGGCCTGTGATGAGGCCTCACAACACGGAGCTGCGACAGCAGGTGGCCCCAGGGGTGGCCTCCCCCAGGCCACATGCACTATGGCCAAAAGGTCTCAGCTCCGGGACTGCGGACGCGCCCTTGGAGGCATCGGAAGCCTTGAGCCCGGAGATGGAAGAAGAGGCGGCGGCCGGCTTGGGCCAAGGGTGGTTCGACAGGGCAGTTAGGGTCTGCGAGAAGCGAAGGCCACGGAGACCCCCACGGGCAGGCATGCCCCGTGCTGTGCGGGCCCCGACGACGCAGGGTGGGAAGTGGAGTCTTTCACCAGAGGCACCCAGGCCTGTCCTCGGGCCTCACGCTGGCCTCCCCTGCCCCCAGCGGCGGCTGAGCACAGATGGGGTGACGGAGGTGCTGCCCCCCAACGCTCTGTGCCCACACTCACCTACCTCACAGCCACGTCTGCGACCTCGGGCGGCATGTGCCCCCGGATGAGCAGGGAGCTGCCCCCGTGCCAGGCGTCCGTCAGGCAGCAGTGCGTTTTCACCCAGCCCTCGCCGCCCCCTTCCGGCCTGTGCTCCCCAAACAGGGGCTGGATCTCCTGGGCACTCAGGTGGTACCAGGGCCCCACCGCCTCCTCCTGAGAGAAAGGCAGATCAGAGGGCGGGCAGTGGACAGACAGCATTCCTGGTGACCCCCAGGCCCTCCTGCCTCACCCAGCTGAGGCCGGGAGGAGGGAAGGCGGCCCCCCAGGGCCCCAGCCACCCTGTGTGGTGACCCCCACCTGGCCATAGGAGACTCTCCGTGTCCCCATGCCCAAGCAGAAGGAGGTGATGAAGGGCAGGGAGCAGACACTGTGTGTGGGCAGGTAGGGCTCCAGCAAACTCCAGAACCTGCGGGGAAACGGTGGGGCTCAGTCCTACAACTGGGCGGGTGGTGTCCCGACCCACTGGCCCTCTGCTTAGTGGTCTCCAGGACCCCCTTCCAGAAACAGCCAATGCGAGGCTGGTTTCTTCTCAGATGAGTGCCCCCCTCCAATGCCCCCCCCCCCACTTTAACCACCCCGGGAAGGCCGCAAGAGCAAGGCGGGAGCAAGCTGGTGTCGCCTGGGAGCCGCCCCCAATCAGCCACCAGCCCTGGGGCGGCAGGGCTCACTTGTCCTGGTTCTGGAAGAAATCCTTCTTCTCCAGGCACTCGTACACCCAGCCAGGCGCGAACAGGGCTGCCGAGAAGCCGTGCTTGCGGATCAGCTCCAGCGACTATGGAGACAGCAGTCAGGGGATGCCCCACCCAGCCGCGCCAGCCAGGGCAGGACACAGCCGGCGTCCACACAGGCGAGCTCTCGGGCCGGCCTAGAAAGGGGGGGCTGAGCTGCACTCCTCCCTCCAGGCCGCAGCCCCGCAGTCCGAGCCCACGAGAGAAGGGCGCCAGGGCGGCCGGCCATGCTAGCGGGCGGGGGCTTGCAAGGCAGCCACAGGCCCTGGGCCCCTCCCTCTCCCGCTCGTCGGCTGCAGTACCCATGGCGGGTGGAACGAGTCTTCAGTTACTGGCTAACTTACCCATTTAGGCTTCTCTAACCAGTGAGGGCCCGGGTAGCCCCAAGAACGGGCGGACCGACCCCCCAGAAGGCAGGCCAGTTCCGTCTCTCCCGCAGCGGGGGCCTCAGCCGCACCCGCTCCTCTCCTGGCTGCGGACTGGACTTGCCTTGCCAGCGAGGCGAATGAGCTGTCCAGGGGCAGGCACCGACCGCAGCCCCATCGCCAGAGCCCAGCAGCCCGGACAGGCAGCGCCATAAAGTGCCCCCGGCCCCCCACAGCTCCCAGCAGGGTGCCCTGTCCGCCAGCACCCGTGGGGAGTGTGCTCTGACCGCAGGTTTCAGGGCACAGCCTGGCTCAGCACAGGCCAGTGATGTCCCTGTGCCTCGGTTTCCCCGCGTGGGAAAAGCTGCTGCCTCTCTCCCTCGAGGGTCAAATGGGAACGAAAGGTCCCAAGGGAGCCCACTGCCCTCCCCACCCCGTGCAAGAGCCACACCCACCTTGTCGGTGTCGAATCGGCCCCCGACCACGTTCCCCCGGGCGAACACGTCCACGCCCACGTACACATCAGCCCGGCGCTGGCCTGCCTGCTCCAGCATCCTCGCCAGGTGCTCCTCCCGCCAGTTGTAGTTGGTGAAGAAGCCGTCGCAGGACTCAAAGAAGACCCTGCGAGCAGGCCAGGACCCAAGTGAGGCCACGGCCCGGGCCTCAGCACCTGCCCCGCCCGCCCAGGGCCCAGAGAGCCCGCTCCGGCCAGCCCTGCCCTGAGCTGCAGCCCACAGCCCGGAACGGCACAGCAGACAGGCCTGCTCCTGCTTGAGTCACGGGGCCACATGGCCCTGCCACTCCCACTTCACCCTGGCAGCCACCCAGGTAACCCTCTGGAGAGGGGTGGGCTCCCACTACACACAGAGGGCGGCGGGCTCACCTGTTGTGCTCGTTCAGCTCGTCCTGCCACTTGAGCTGCCCGTTGGCCACCACGCTGTCGTACCAGAGCACCAGCCCACCCGGGACATGCTGGTGCAGCTGAGTGGTCAGGTACTGGAGGAAGTGGGGCATGTTCCCCACTGCGGCCAGCTAGGGGAGAGGGTGAAGGCCCTCTGTGAGGCCCGGAGGCCTTGGCCACGAGGAGTGGCTGGCCTGGGACCAAGAGCCACAAAATACACAGCCTCGACCCCACAGCCACGGAGCAGAGGTCCAGCCAAATGTGAGACTCTCCTTGCTTCAGAAGCAGGGAGGCCCAGGCACAGGAAACACAGTGGGGAGAGGGGGGACAGCATGGCCAGGAGCCCATGGGCAGCCAAGCAGAGTGGGGAGCGTGGGGGGAGGGGGAAGGGGATGTGGCCACAAGGAGCCAGCCTGGCAGTGCTTGTCTAAGCAAGGCATAGTGCTGGAGTTGATCTGTCTCACGGCAAAGCTGGCTCTCACTGGGCACAGGGGTGGCATAGGTCAGCCGCCAGGGCCAGGAAAGCAGCAGCAGGCACAGCGGGGTGGCAGGCTGGGCAGTGGGCGGCTCACACTCAGAGAGTTCTCGATGTTGATCAGCCAGCCGTCAAAACGGAAAAACTGGGCGATCCGGACCAGCTGATCCGCCACGGCACGGAAGGAGCGCTCGTCCCCGGCCAGGAAGGCCTCACAGAGCTGCCCGCCCTCCTTCCACTCGGTGATGAACGTCCCTACAGGATGTGAGGGGCAGGGTCAGCCTGCTCCCTCTGGCCAGTGGCCTCAGAATGGCCTGCAAACGCGGCAAACTCAAGTTCTCTGCCCGCCCCCAACAACTAGTGAATTGACACTGGGGGGCCAGCCCCCATCGGCGCTTCAGCAAACCCACAATGACAGGGTGCAGAGAGGCACTGCCCACCCAGGGCTGGCCCCGCAGGCATGGCTGCTGCCTGCATGGGGGTGGGCGGGCTCAGCCAGGCACTGCTCCCCATCAGGCTGCTCTGTCTGCAGCTCTGACTGCGACCTGGTCTGCAAAGCTGGAGCTCCCACTGCCCACTCCTTCCCAGAAAGATTCGGCGACTGCCTGTCCGAAACTACCCAGGCCGCCCCTGGAAAGGCGCTCTAGGCCCTGGGGGGCAGCAGAGGCCCTGGTCTCCCTGCAGGGTGCTAACAATGTGGCCAAGTTGGGGGGGAGGGCCTGGCCCTTACCCAGCACGCAGACCCCATGACAGTGGGCAGTGTTGGTCCAACCCACGGGTGGGATGGTGACCATGTGGTGGCTGAAGTACACGAAGATGTCAATGTACTGCCAGTGGTAGAAGGAGTAGGGCTTGGCCGCCGGGGAGCCCTGAATGAACCTGAGTGAGGAAAGAGAAGCAAGTCAGGACACTTGGTGGTGGGGGGCGGGGGGGCAGCAGGGCCAGGTTGCAGCGCCTGCTCAGAGGGTAGGTCCTCTGCTCACACAAGTGCTCCCACTGGGCTTTCCCCAGCCTGCTCAGAGGCAGGCAGCCTCCAAGGCAGTCCCTGGTGCCCAGGCTGGGATATGATCACAGGGGCTGTACCCCAGAGCCCCTCGCCTGCCTGTGTTGCGCCAGGCCATTTTACAGCTGTTTAAGATGAGCAGATGCTACAGCAACTAAGTGTCCCTGCCCAAAGCGGGAGAGGTGGGCACGCAGCTGCACCTCCACAGCCAGAGCCAGCGGCCCAAGAAGGCAGTCGGACATCAAGTGAGGAAGGGTGGGGGGAGCAGGGCAAAAGCCAAGTTTTGGGCCCAGCTGACAGGGAGAGGGTGCCCTGTGGCACAAGAGTCCAATCTGAGGCAGTCCTCAGAATCAGGGCTTTCAGAACCAAGAGAGGCAGAAGCTGTGCCCTAAGCCGACTCCTGGGGACCCCGTTCTGGTGCTCGCTACCCTGCCACAAAACAGGCACCAGGTGATGTCCTCACCTGTCATCCAGGTATCCGCCCATCATGTCATGGCACAGTAAGGTCCGGGGCCTCTGGCTGCTCAGAGGGGGCTGGCGGCTCTCGAGAGGCCTCGAGGCCACATTGAAGCTGTCCGCGGTGGTGGGCGTCCATGCCAGGAGCTCCTCCAGCGAAGACAGGTAAAAGCTCACGGGCCTGCCGGTGTCCTTGTCATAATATCTAACTAGTCAGGGGCAGGAGACAGCGAGGGGTTAACGGCGATTACAGGATTAACAGAAATGCTCAATGGGAAATGAGGGTGGGAGTTGGGGGGAGGGAGCCATGCCTGGGGGCCCCAAGAGTGACCCCAGGGTCAGCACCTCAACGCTCTCACCTGGCAAAGGGTCTGGGGTAAAACTGACCACCTCTCGGAAAACCGCCGCCTCTTCCTTGTCCTCGATTCTAAGCAGAGAGTTTTAACGTTTTACGCATAAGGGTGAGAAAAACACTTACAGAACGTGGGCTAGGCTCCCCCAGACGTGCAGGGCGCATCCGCCTCACATTTCTGAGTGTAGACTGCAGCCTTATGTGTCAAACCAGAGAGGGTGGCAGGTGCTGACCCACGCGACGGCAGCCTGGGCGGGCTCTGCTCTGGCACGCACGCGCCCTTGTCGGGAATAAACTCTAAAAGCGGCGCCCCCACACCGCCCCGGCAAAGACAGATACTCTTCCCGCCTCCCCAGGCTTTGCTGTGGCCAAGAGGCAAGGAAAGCCCCAAGCCGCAGAGGGGTACGCCCGTGTCCCCTGTGTGAGTGCGTCCTACGAACCGAACCGGAGCTAACTCCGGGCGGGGGACGGACGCGGGGGAAGGGGCACCTTTGCTGCCTGAGGCGGGAAGGCCTGGATGGATCCAAAACCACACTATTGCCTCAGCAGAGACTGGCCGGGGCTCCACAGCCAGCCTCCTCCGTGGCCATCAGCGGCCACTGCCCTGCTGACCGGGTGTCCCCTGACACCCTCCTCGACCTGCCCCGCCCGCGAACCCAGCCTGGACCCTAGGCGGGGGCGGGACCCCAGGCCCGCAGGGGTGGGCGAAGGCGCGGTCACGGGCTCCCTGGGCCCTCCCGCCTCTGCCGGGCCGCCCGTGCCAGCCGCCCTCCCTCCGCGGCGCCCCGCGGGCTCTCGGCCTGGTCGGGGGGCTCCTCCGGATCTGGGGGCTCAGCTCGGCGTGCGGCCGCCGGGCCCTGCCCCCCCGCCCCCCCCCCCCCCCCGGCATCTCCTGCTCCGCGCCCGCCACCCCCGCCCCGGCGGCTCGGCCCGGGCGCGCGGCGCCGCCAGGGGCCGGGTCCGCGCCGGGAGGGGCGCCCACCTCCGCCGCGCCTTCCGCGCCCCCGGGGTCGCCAGCGCCGGCCGCGGCAGCGCCCGCTTCCTGGCCGCCGCCCGCGTCGTCACCCCCGGCGCCTCCATGACGCCGCGACGCCCCCCGGCCAATCGCAGCCCGGGCCCGCCCGCCGCCGCCCGCCAGCCAATGAGAGCTCGCGGCGCGGCCGCCCCGCTGCGACAGGCGCCAGCGCGGCCGCGATTGGGCTCCGCGGGCTCCGTGACGCTCTGGACGCGCGCCGCGGGCGCCGCCGGCGTTTTGTAGCCCGGGGGGCGGGGCGGAGTCAGGGGCGGGGCCAGGAAGGGGCGGGGCCTCGCTGGGGGCGGGGGCCGGCGGCGCCCCTCCCCCGCGGGCGAGCAGGTGGGGTTCGGGGCGCCCCCTGCAGGGGCGCGGTCTGCTCTGCGCCTGCGCCTGTCAGGGGTCACTAGAGAAGGTGACGTCACGACGCCCCTCCTGGGCCGGGGCCACAGGCCTTCTTCTATTTGCTGCCGTGGACCGAGCCAGAAGGATGCGCGGCGCCCCGGGGTCGCTGGAGGGGGCTTCCGCCTCCGGGCTGGCTTCGGGGGGCCAGGGGCTGGCTTCGGGGGGCTTCCGCCTCCGGGCTGGCTTCGGGGGGCTTCTGCCTCGGGGCTGGCTTCGGGGGGCCGGGCGCGCTGTGCTGGGGAGGGGCGTGGACGGCCCGGCCCGGCGGCGCCCCCGGGGTTCGCCAGGGTCTCCCCACTTCCCGCAGGACGGAAGGCCCGCGCAGGGCCGGTGACGGGCGGGGCCTGGACACGGACCCCCGAGACTCTGACCCGGGGCTGCGGGAGGCGCAGGAGGCGCCGGGGCCGAGGAGGAAGCTCTGAAGGCGGAATTCACTGAAACGCGGCCACAAATGCGAGTGCGTAAAGCAATCAAACACAAGTGTTTGCTGCACCCCCAAACCTGTGAACCCCCCGCCCAGCTCGCAAGGCCTGGGGGTACCTCAGAGCAGCACCTCCCAGCGCTCCCGCTGAGCGGCGCGGTCGCCGGCGCTGGGCAGTGTTAGCGGGCGGTGCCAGGACAAGGCCCCCCTCGACCCCCCCTCGAGCCCAGGCCCTGGAGCCCAGGCCCTCCCCACCCACCCGGGCCCTGGGAGCGTCCCCTGGGCTGCAGCTGCTGCCCAAGCCGCGTGAGTGTGTCTGTTATTGCTCTGACTTTGAACTTTATGAGGCCCCACGCGCAGTAAAACCCTGAGGTGGGCAGCATGACTCAGGCTGTGGCGCCTGGGCCAGGAGTCGGAGCTGCAGAAGACAGGGCTGGCAAAGCCTCCAGAAATTTGCAGTGAGGAAGGGGAGCAGGGAGGCCAGTTCCCCAGCCGTGCTCAGGTGAGTGTGTCTCTGCTTGCACCCAGGTGTCCCCGACCCTCTCCCGTAGCTGAGAGGTCAAAATAAATGTGTCATCCCAAGACTGGAAACACGGCCCCCAGGGATACTTGGACCCGGCCTGGGTCTGCTCCCGCTGCCCCTCCCGGGGGCCGCTGCTCTGGCACAGGAAGGGGCGGTTCTCTGCGCCTCCCCTCTCTGGGCAGCGGGGGCAGGGTCTTGGGGACGCCCGCTGCGCCCTGCTTGTGCCTGTCCTGCAAGCCCACGGGATTCCTGGTCTCTGGGAAGCAGGATGAGCCGGAGGTCCCATGTCTGCCTTGAACTCATAATTGTCGCAACCAGAGCTCCAGACGCTCCTGAGGCCTGGCTGGGCTCCTAGACCCCGGCCTTGTAGGGTTTCCAGATAAGATACAGGACACCCGGTTAATGTGAATTCCAGATAAACAAGGAATTAAAATGTGGGATGTGGTTATACTAGAGAATTCTTTCGCTTATCTGAAATTCAAAGTGCGCTGGGATCCTGGACTTGCTAAATTGGCAGCCGCGGCCCTGCCGCAGAGCCCGTCCTGCTGCCGCACTGCCCCTCGGGCGCCTCCTCGCCGCCTGGCTCTCAGCTGCCCGGGCCCGTCCAGCCCAGCGGGGAAGCCAGGCTGGCCCCGGACCGCTGAGCCGGGAGACCCCACCTGCGCGCAGCTCCTGAGCTCAGGGTCGCCCCCACCCTGGCCGTGTTGACCTGGTGCCCTCCGGCCCAGCGTGGCGACCTGGCGGCACACCTGCCCGCCCTACCTCCCTGCCCTCTTCCTCATGCCTCCCACGGTGTCCTGGGGCAAGAGGCTGAACCAGGTGAAGAGGCATCACCTGCTCCTGGGTTGCAAATAGCCTGAAAGGTGCAGCGGGAACCACTTGTCCCGATCACCCTCTCTCAGCGGGCCGGCGGCTGCCTGGGTGGGCCGCGTGCCTAGTGGGCGAGGTTACGGCAGTGAGGGCGCTGGTCTGGTTGTGCCTGCAAAACAGAGCTGGGGCCCCTGTCCGTCCCCCTTCCTGCCGGCTCCCAGTGAGGATACTGAGGGGGCAAAGCATCAAGGCTAAGGGGCCCGGGTCCCCCACAAAAGACCACAGTGGGTCCTGGCCCGCCTGGTCCAAACCCTATATAAGGAAAATGAACTTCCCTCTGCCTTGAGCCAAGCCGCCCGGGTATCTGTCTCAGCAGCGGGACCTGACCACATCCGGGATACAGGAGTTTAGGAGAGGCTCTAAAACGTGGCCTGCCTGACAAGGCTGGTCTTTATTTGCCTAATCGTATTGGCTTATTCTTTCTCGGCATTCCTTCTGTGCTCAGAAGGAATGGGCTTCGGCCTCTCCTTTCATTCGCAGATGTCTCCGCCGGCCAGGGGAAGGCTTTTGCACTGTCACTGCCTCTGAGGCACCCAGGAGCTCCCCCACCCAGGAGCTCCGCCGGCTCCATGATGAGAGGACAAGGGGGCTGGCCCTGCCCAGTGCCTGACTCAGCTCCGCACCCCTTGAGGCTGTGCCCAGGCTCCTACCTGCTCAACATCCTGCTGGGGGAGAAGAAAGTGCCTCCGGCCCCGGCACACCTGCACCCGGGGACAAGAGGTGGGCTGCCCGGACATCTGCCCCGGCGGGGCCCGGTGTCCCCATAACTGCAGCTGCACACTCCACCTGCGCGCCTTCCTGGTCATGATGTAAAGCATACAGGGAAAGCCACATTCCCAGGACCGAGGTGTTCCTTGCCTTCCCCGGCCTCCTGGCCCGGCTCGCTACCCACCGGTGCTCTCGCTGGGTTTGACCCGTGTCCTTCCAGATGTTTCAGAAGCTTTTACGCAGATGGGTTACCTGCAGCCACAGAGCCCCGGGTCTCACAGAAGTGGGATCGGGTTGGATAATCTGCCCTGTGTCCGGCGTTTGCCACTCAGCTGTGCTGTTTCCGTCAAGCCACTTTAATCTCTGTGGCTCCAACTGGTCATTTTCACCGCTACTTGGTGCTGACACTCGGTCATTCTAACCCGTCACGGTGGACCTGCCCACCTACCCACGGGAGGCTTTAGATAGCATGACATTCAAATGTTTAATGATTAAAGCATTTTGAAAAGTTGTTAGGTTTTAAAATGGCAGATTTTAAAGTTATTAAATATTATTGTTTCGTGTTAAATTGAGTGTCACTGCGCCGGCCTTCTTGGGCACGGCTAAGCATTTTCTCCACTTGTCAGGTGAGGCCAGCTGCAGTGAGTGCTGGTAAAAATGCACGCCCTTATCCATTTTAACCTTCGGGCCCGCGCCTGTGCTGGAGGGGAGGGACGGGGCGGGGCGGGGGGACAGGCCGGGTGACCCGCAGCTCCGCCATGGGGGCCTCGGGGCTCTCGCGCTCCTGCAGGCCTGAGAGCGGCCCCGAGTCTTGCTGTCCTGACGGAGTTTCTTCTGTGCGGGTGGTGTTAGGGACCTTTGCTGCGCCCTTTTCTCCTGTTATTTCTCTCACCCCCCGCCCCCGCCCCTAAGGAGTGTGGGATCACTCAGGCTGTTCTTCCGCCTGCAGAGCTCGGTGAACGGCAGACGGCCCGGAAGTGCGGCAGCCACGCCACACGTGACCCGCGAAGGGTCTGGGACGCTCGGCTGCGTGTCTGTCCTTCTGTCCCCCTGCCTGCCTGTGTGTCCCCTCCCCTGCTTCAGTCTTTTTTTTTAAGATTTATTTATGCATACAAGAAGTGGGGTGTAGGCCAAAAGTGTGGGGGTGAGAGTCAGAATGGGGAACAGAACAGGCAGATCCACTGAAACACACTGAGAGGGGAGCAGCAGGCAAGTCAGGAGGTCTGCTGCGCCATGTAGGGTAGCTCCCCGTTCGCTGCAGAGGCTGCGAACAGCTTCATAGGTTGCATCTTAACCCCTTGTGCCACCAGAGAGGCCCCCGTCAGTCTCAAAAGACCTGTCGGACATGCCAAAGGCTTCAAGATTCTTTTGTCCACTCCCCTGAATCAACAGTGAACCTGCCCGGCCTGGGGTGGTTGCGCAACCACCCCTACTCCTCTGACCTTTTCTCCCTCCCCCGCTTCCCAACTTCAGAAACCTCACTCCTGCTGTCAGTGCCCACTGGTTTATAAATATTTTGCTTTGTCGGTTCATCCACCTTGATTCTTACTTTACTCATATAGCTGACGTCATCCAACCCTTGTCTTTGTCTTTCTCACCTGCTCTGCTACGGAGTTGCGTGCCTTAGACGCACGTTCCCTTGTTCCCTTACGTTCTGCTGCGAATGACAACACACCCTCTCCGCTCCCGCCTGAATCCCTGGCATGGCAAGGCTGCCTCTCCCTGACCCAGCCCCTGTCCATGGGCACGTAGGTTTCTTCCCATGTCCTCCCCGCCGTAAATATGCTGCGGTAGACATTGTGGACCATGAAGCTTTTTGAGTTGATGGTTTCAGACAGAGGCCTGGGAGCAGGACTGGCTGCAAGGAGTGTCCACTCCTGGTTTGTCGGGGAGGTGCAGATCACCTCCCGTATGACTGTGCAGGTCACATTCCCGCCACGGTCGTCAGGGCTCCTGTTCCTGCACATCTCCTCCAGCACCTGGTGTTGGGGGTCTTTGCAATGGGGGCCCGTCTCATGGGGTAGGTGATGCCTCATCGTGCTTTCCCCTGCATCTGCCTTTATGTGAGCCACGAGCATTTTTCCAAGCATCCGTTGGCTTCTCTGTATCCTCCCCGGCAACTGTGGGCTCGGATCCACTGC